CTGCTCTCCTTGCCCGGCTCCCACCACAGAAGCTAATAGTGGACATTCCCAGAGACAGAAACTGTCAACAGACAGACACACAGACTTATTAACTCCGCTGGGCAGGGAGGGCGGCCCTCTACTCCCCGAAGATGACGGTGGTTCCTTCTCCCTTTAAGTCAGAGCCCGCAAAGAGAAGTCCAAAGACCAAAGTGCAGAGAATCCTGGGAGTGGGCAGCCTGGGACTAGGGCACTCCAAGGAAGAAGGAGGTGGTCAACCTGGAGCCACAGCTGTGGAACAAGCTCAGAGCCTGGTGACTCGAGCCTGCCAGCACAGTCCCCTTTTTCTCTCGGGCCCTGTTGACAATTTCTGTCTCTGGGAATGTCCACTATTAGCAGCTCCCCAGGGAGTCCTGGTCCCAAAGATGTGGCCCACGATGGGGGAACACTTGTCTGACCATCCCTGGTTGGTAGTGACCCAGCTTTGGGGAGGAGGGACACGTGGACCACCCTAAAGGCAGAATCTCTCCTGGGGAAGGTTTGCTGAGGATGGTCGGGGTCCTACTGGTGAGGCCTGTTGGGGAAGAGCCCCTCTGGGTGTGAGAGGAGCTGCAGTGCTGGGGGAGGGGCTGTGGAGGAAGAGTCCAGCTGGCATCAGGGTTGTGTAGGCAGGGGGTGGCTGGAATTGGTTGATGACCTCATACTCTGCAGGGTAGGGCTCGTTCTCCTCCATCTCAGACAGCAGCTCCAGAGCCTGCTCTTCTTCCTCTGTAGGGTAGTGGTGCAGAAGATTGGCTGCAGTGGCCAAGATTGAGGCTCCACCAGCTCCTGCCACCAGGTAGAAGCTAACTGCAAAGGTGACGTAGACCTGGGAGCCATGGTTCTTCTTCTGTCGCTGCTGCTGGGCCAGGATGAGTTCAGAAGCCCAGTAAGAAAATGGGATGACCGATGAAGGTGGCACACTGCAGGACGGTGAGCATATGGGCGACGGTGAGCATATGGGCGACGGCAGAGCCAGGCGTGATCTTCAGGGCTGGATGCTTGGGCCCAAAGACATCCAGAAGGAAGGCGGAGGGAGAGGCTGCACAGAACGCCCAGGAAGCAGAAGGCAGCAATGACCCGCAGGAGCAGAACTGTCTGGGGGTTCATGCAGGTCCGGGTGCACGTAGCCCAGGACGTCCAAGACCCCCAGCTCCTGGCCGGAACAGGTGCCTCCGTGGCTGTGCAACCAGGCGGGCTCGGCGAGGGCAGTGCACAGTGCCTTGATAGACAGGGCGCCTGGCAGGGCGGAGGCCAGGCTATGCTGCGGCTATGCTGCGGCTGTGCAACCAGGCGGGCTCGGCGAGGGCAGTGCACAGTGCCTTGATAGACAGGGCGCCTGGCAGGGCGGAGGCCAGGCTATGCTGCCTCTTGGACTCCTCCTCTGGCACCCGCTGGGCTGCCCTGCGCCTCCATGGGCATACAAGCCCGGGCCGCCCACGGTCGCTCTGCGGTCGCTGCTGATGGCCACCGA